AGTCAGACACGAGTCAACGAAATTTACATTAAAAATGTTATAACAAACACGAGATAATTAATGTTGTTCGAGTGATTAAATCACTATAAAATAATATGTATGGTATAATATTAAGACAAAATTGATTGTTTATAAAATTACTTTTCTCTCTTATGTAGTATAAAAAAGAGTTTGAAGGATTTGAAGGATGTTATGGGTATTTTTGTAATTTTCATTATTTATCCAAAAAGATTTCAGTATTATAGTTACATTATCTGGTATGGATAACTTATTCGGTTACTAATTATTAATCTTGATATAACTGAAGTTAGTAATTACCAAAAAAAAATATAAGATAAGATAAAATGCGGATTCGATAGGCAGCTGAATCGAATGAGCACGTGGCAAAAGTAACTGCTAGACACAGAGTCAACAGAATTGGCATTAAAAATGCGGTAGCACATATGAGAAAATCAATGTTATTGAACTGATCAAATCGCTACGTAAGATTCAGACTTTATTGTTACACTCTCGATTTAGTATGAATTATGTTTTCTATTACTAATCATTAATTTTGATATTATTTAAGTCGATAGTCACTGAACAAGAGATAAGACAATATGAAATAAATTTTGAAGTCGACACGTGAATGAATTAGTAAGTACATGTGGCAAAATCAATAAGACATATATTAATAAGCAAAAATTAAATTAGAAAATAAAAATGTGATGCCAAACACGAGATAAAATATAAATTACTGTCATTCAAATTATTAAACCATTACACAAAATTCTGATATTATTGTTACACATTGTTATAAATAACATATTCAAATACTAATTATTATACAATCATGATATTATATAAATTAGTAATTACTAAATGAGAGATTAAATTATACAATATAAAAATTGTACTTGGAAATAAGTTGAATGGGAGGTGCATGTGGCAAAAGCCACAAGTTAAGTATGAGTCGAGAAGCATTGTGATTGATGATGCGATGTCAAACACAAGACATAAATCTGATTAGTATAATTTAAATGATCAAACTATTAAATAAGATTTTGATATTATTATTACACCTTATATTATTGATAGTTTATCGTACTACAATTCTTAGTTATGACATAAACATAAATTAATAACTATCAATTAAGAGATAAGATTGTATAAAACGAAATCTAAATTCGATTGGTATTATCAGAAAAGAAAAAAAATTCAATAGGTGGTTCAATCGAAAGCTACATGCAGCAAAATGACATTTAGGCGTGAGTCGATAAAAAATATAATAAAACTCTAATATCAGCTACGACGCAAAAATCAAATCAATGTTATCTAGATAATCAAACCGTTACACGTGATTCCGACAAAAATAACAAACAATTAATGAGCTTTGTGAGTGCATAATTTATGATACTCGATCTTTGAACTATAATTATAAATATTTGTAATTTTACACAAAATAGCTACTTAGGGAATTTAATTAGGCAATTGGCTACAAGTTATGTTATTAAGCATTGTATATATAGTATTAATTGATATGGACAATCTTTATTTGAATAATTTGCGCGTAATTGTATAGTTGAACTATTTTATTTGTATTTTATATAAATAGGTTAATATTAATTAATTTGTATTTATTTTTGTATAAACTATTTTGATTGATTGAATCATTGAGAATTACAATTTTGATAAAACAAGTTTTTGCTAAACGAGCTATTTCTAAGTGTGATTGTATAAAGATAATAATAGCAACTAACTTGTACTTATATATTTTGTATAAGCATAATTTCTTGTTAATCAACTTTTGTATTTAAATATTTTGTATAAATAAAATATAGAGATGTACAATTAGAATAACTATATACAAATATGGGTGTAATTGTAAATTTAAAATTGGATTTATTTTTTGAAGTAATGCAAACATGATAAAACTTGAAAATTAGTTAGTATAAATATAAATATTTGAACTTAAAAAAGTTATACAAATTGCATTCTGCAAACGTCTTTCAATACAAATTATAAAAACTACATGCTTGTACAACTCAAACGCGAAAACATAATTATGCCTATAAATTAATAACAAATGATAATTAATTTAAACTATGATTGTATTAACCAGCTTAACTAGTATATATTTATTTATTCACATAATTTTCCTTAAATAATATCTTACATTTTCCTTGAATGTCATCTCAAATTCATTTTCTCACAAGCATTATATCAAGTTCTAAAATTTTCATATTTTTGTGATGACATTGAAGTTCAGAACAATTTAATTTTCTTATATGAGTTAATATTATTTTATTATTTAATTTTTATAAGTAAATTTATTATAATTTTATTTTTAATGAATTCACTTCCCATTAAATTACGTATAAAAATTTAATTATATTATTCTAAAAGCAAATAAAATAAGTTATTATTTTAAATTTTTCATACTCAACATATCCACCTACCTCTTGCTGTATGAAAATAAAAAAAATAGGAATTATTCATTAATTTGTCCACTTGTGTTGTAACGTTGGCATATCTATGGTACTGTATTACATGTAGTGCCTGAATTGTAATATCACAGAAATTTTACACTAATATATTTTGTGATTTGTCCGATAATTATTTTTATTTGGGGTGGTGGGTGGGATGAGTCCCAAATAAGTTAAAATCTCTCGAAGGGTAAAAAAGGTTAATTGAATTGATTTCCCCCGCTAACGCTCCATCACTATCACTCCTTCATTTAATAAATAGATAGTGATTTTAATTTGGATAGATTATCGCATTGATATTTTTATTAATGAAATAAATCATAAATTTATATGTAGAAATATATTAAAATTACAATAAATGTTAAATATGAAATCATAATATTGTGTTAATAATATAATGAGTTTATTATTGAAAACTTTAAGAATCAAATTCATAAAATATTAATTCTGAATTTATTTTTATTTTTAATCAAACTAACTTCTTTCAATCTAAATTTAGTTGAGGTCATCAATGACTACCCAATACTGAATAATGTCTTTTTAAAGTCAAATGAATATTTTCTAAATTTTTATTATTATTTTGCACAAATTAATTCGTCATAATTATATTAATTTTACGCTGACATTAGCTTTTCCGTAATTCTCATCATTATGATGGAGCTATCTAATAACCAAAAAAAAGAATGTCACTTTCGGAAAGGATGATTATACGCCATTTGACATTATTGATTGGCATATCTTTATGAAGCTAGGTAGTATGCTCAACTATCACAAATCGCAATGAAAGAATAAACAGTATGTTTGTTAAGTATAGAAAATATTATCCTTTTTACGTTATTGGTACTTAGATAAATATGATATAAATATTGTGAATTTACCTCATGTGACACATAACTTCATTAACAGGACATCTCTGCAAATTGGACCATCTGTTGGAATTTAAAGATGACTTTAAAATGAGGTATAATGTGAATTGGGAAATAAAAAATTCTTATATAATCTAGTTTTGCCTAAACTAGCCCTCGTTGGTGAGGGAAAGCAAAATAAACAAGTTTATTTATATATATATATACAAAAGAAAAACTTTGTTGAGGTCATGTGTCCGTTAGTCGCGTAGTCACATACTATCAAGGGTGTTCAATCGGAATAATATTAGCATATATAGAAGTAAAATGATATACGAAATCATTAAATAACCTATTTTGGACATCCTTAACATAACAAATTGCTATTTCTGAACACTTTTAAGAAATTTCTGGCTCCGCCACTGTATATGGGTTATATTTGATCCTCCTCTCATATACTTTCTTGAACTTTTTATTTCAATGACTAATTTAAATTTATTATTTTGATAGTCAAATTTATTTACATTTAAATAATTTAAAATTTATTATAGATGTCCTAATTTTTTTTTTACAAATACAAAAACTAAATTACAATATAGCCGAAAAAATTCATTTTAAACTATAATATAGTCAAAAAAAATTAATTTTAATTTTTTCACTAAAGAATGAAAGAAAAAAATAAAATAAGAATAAGAAACTCAAATAATGATAATCAAAGAAGTCAAAAAATAATTTATGTATGAAAAAGATTAAAATATGCCTTGAACACCCCTAGGTGATTTTTTCTTTAAAAATTTAAGTAAAATAAACTAATTTTTCACTTCCGTTAGAGGAAGGTATATACGAGTTTCTTTTATATCAGTAGGAATATATGTAAGTTATTTGTGTACGATAAGAATATAAATGAATCACTTTATAGCAAAGGTAGATCAAGTCTAAATAACTAATAGTTGTAGTTATATTTTCCTACAAATAATAAAAAGAAAGTCAAACTTAAATGACTTTAAAATTAAAAAACAAAAAAGTGGGGGAATCATAATTTGAATTTAAATCATTTCAAGTTATTCTATACTTTGTCAAACACTCTCAAAAATTAAAATTAACTTACGAGTAAGTTTAAACAATTTTTAATTTAATCCAAACAAACAACCTCATAGTTCCTCAAAGACGCAAACAACTTGTTGACTCGAAATATTTTTTCTTAGTTCTACTTTTTCGTTTCAGTATTTATTTGGTTTCTTGTTCTATCACCAGAATTACGATATGTTCTGTTGCAAGCAGAAAAGTTTTGGCACAAAGTTGTTAGTTGTACAACAATACGTCCATTCTGAGACATCTATATTCAACATTTCAATACTTCAAACGGTTCTGAACACAAGTTGTTTCAGCACACGTTTAAAACTGAATCTATCGTGATTAGGTAATCGCGATAGTCAAGACAACAACAACATTTCGTTTAAAGGAAGAAAGTAAATGATACTAACACACAAATATTGTTTCTATGATTACCTCTCGTCTCCAAAAAGAAAAAGGAAAAACAAAGAAGGAGCTAGCCCAGATCTAAAGCAACCTTGTAATACCCTTTATGGCTTTATCCCTTGCATAGAAAATGGATGGAAAAAATTGCCCCCTGCTTACACATAATTCAGAACTGAGACAGCATATCATCAAGGAAAAAAGAACTTTAAAGTCTCAGTAGAAGTGTTACTCTTCTTATTGGATAAATAATCCACTTAATACAAAGTTAAATCATTTACAGATCAAAAGTAATAAGAAATTTCACAGAATTAGAACTATAAAACAGTGACAGAAGTAAACAGAATTTTAGTTTTCTCATGGCCCGAACAGAAAGCTGAGATTCATACTTCCATAGTTTTAGCAGCTACAAACGGTGGTCTGAATCACACCAGGCTCAAGCGCATGGAGGTTCATATCAAGCACTTGTGAGCATGAACAACATTCAATACCACTACAGGGATTTTGGTGATTCTGGAATAGGATCATTTGGACCAAGGTCATCAATTGGTGGCCGCTGCTTATGATGATTGGTAACTGATTGATAAGCAATTGCTAAAGCTAAGGCCTAGAAATAAACAAACAAACAAAAATGAACGAATGAATGGTATAAGCAGCACAATCAGAAGTTCAAAGTAATCCGATTCTTGTAGTCCAGAAATCCCATGACTCAACAACAAAGAAAAAGATGATACATGCGTCCAAGATTAGAATAATATAGCACATACGTCATTTACACATTTACTACTACACTAAAAAGAGGATCATAACTAAAGAGCACTTACGATATGATCACGGTCCGGAGGAGCATATATGCCTGTAGTTATTGTTGTTCTTCGGCGAATATCATTTGATGGTGCATCAGATATCTTTTTGAATCCTGTTGGAACAATTACTACTGGAATACCCACAAGATTGCCAACACAAACTTTCTCCCAGTCAGTTGCATTTCCAATAAATGCATCAACGCTGAAATTTTCTCTTACTTGCTGAATCAATATACCTCTAGCTCTTTGTGCCTGGTTAATTATCATACCAATATTGATCTTAGTGTTGACAAATTCTGAACCAACGATTTAAAAGTGGATTACAAGCTTCGTTCTGTAACTAAGCCAGTCAGATTTTGAGATGTCTGAAAGAATTAAATTAATTAAGTTCTTCTCCATGGAAATAAAAATAAGTACATTTTAAACATCTAAACCAAGAGAAACTCTGTAGATCAAAACAATTACCTGAAAATAGTCAACTGCAGATATGGCACGTGCTCGGCGAAGTTCAGTAGGCCATTGATCTTGGGCTTCATATTCATCATCCAGATTTGAGCGCTGCCATTTGTCAAAGTGAGCCAGCATCTCAACATCCATTGTGAAATTGAGGACACCTTGGACGGAATCAACAGTGTAACTCAGGTTAAACGGGACCATATTCACTCCTTTTGATTGGAGTACGTGAACGACCTGTCATTGTCGTCACAATATAATTTAGTTATGATATTCATCAAATAGAATAAAGAACCCGATTAACTCAGCCACAATCTGATATTGGAAAAATAGCTACTTACTTCCATCTCAGCATCCTCAAGATATCCAACAGTGAGCTTTGTGATATCAACTGAGAATGGATCTCTAAAGGATATGTCTCTAGATGAAACATCATCTGGGTCCTTTCCCCGAATGGCATCCAGAATAATCACACAATCCACAGAGTTTCTACAAAAAGGGCCTATTTTATCCTGACAAAAAGTTAGATTTTAGTGTGTTGTAATCAAAACTAACGTTAGGAAAGGAACTGCACTGTGGAAGAAACATGAGTACCAAGCTTTCAGCTATGCTCATAATACCCGTTCGACCAACAGCTCCAAAAGTGGGCCGCAGTGCCGTCACGCCACAGCGGGAAGCTGGATAGGTAATAGAGCCGCAAGTTTCTGAACCAATTGCAAATGGAACCAAACCTGCAATACCAGACTCTTTCTTAAAACAATATGTTCTGACTTCTGCCTACTAGTCAGCTATAAATCAGTTAAGGACTATCATTTCTCCACTTCATTCTTCCAAAAGGGATACAAAATGACAATAGATATTGTGCAGAATTGTTATATTTGCAAATGGAGAAGACAGGTACATAATTTAAAATTTAATCAGGGATAGCTCGATAGCTCAAAGATACCTGCTGAGGTGCAAGAAGCAGGACCTGCTGATGATCCCGTAGAATATTCCTCGATATTCCACGGGTTTCTTGTTCTACCACCAAACCAGATATCATCATATGCTAAAGAACCAGTTACTAACTTTGCAACAAGAACTGCCCCGGCAGATTTCAGCCTGCATCAACCATATCTAGATTATTACAAATACACGCACAGTAAGAATGGATATTTAGATCTGGCCTTATACGTCATTGATTTCATGATTAGTTATACCTTTTATAAACCCAAGCTTCAATATCAAGAACTTGGTCTTTAAAAGATGTTGAACCCCATGTTGTGGTATAGTTAGGTACTGCTATGATGTCCTTCAGACCATAAGGAATCCCATGAAGAGGACCTGTATAGGAAAGAAGATGTTATATTTGTAATCCCTTTGAGCAAGAACAAAGAAGCTAGAGAACAAAATATTGTTAAAAAGGTTATGAGGCTATTCGTGTCGCAAAAAAAGTGATCCAACAGAAAATTGGAGAAAACACTTTTTGTATTACTCCAAATTTCATGAAGAAGCAACAAGAAATATCATTTCAAGAAGCAACATGTGCCATAAAATCCAAAAGTAAGCTTCTCTAAATTAAAAAGAATCAAGGAAAATTAATTGAAAGCATGAAGTGAGAAGCAAAGGAAGCATTGGAAGATTACTCTTTCTGAAAAAGGTAACAAATGAACAACCTTAAGTGCTTGAAGGGTAAGGTAATAAATTACAGCATCAAGAAAAAGATCAGTCTGAAGAAACTGGAGAATATTGCAGCCTGAAGATTTACAATTTTCCTGATTACGTGTAACGTTTCGATGGTCTAATTTTAATATGGCTGATAAACATATAATCATTTCCTTCTATGGTACTTACCATGCTCACATTTTATATATTTTTTATGGAGAAGCTGGGTGTATACCATTACTTTTTCCAGATGTAAAGGTCCGTGACATCTATGGAGATTTTAAATGAAGTTCCTATTTCATCTCTTCCCCACAAAATCCCCTCACCCCAGTTGTACAAGTAAAAACTCATATAGAAAATCATAAATTTTGAATAGAGCAGAATGATAGGGAGAGGAAAATCCAAAATTATGAATGTAAATAGGAAAAAGGTGAAAGAGGTTAGTTGAGAGGAATTTTGGCAGACTGTTACCCAAATATTTGCCTTCAGCAAGAAGTTGATCAGCCTCTTTTGCTTGTTTGTATGCTAATTCTTCAGTAATTGTAACGACCGATTCAAGAACAGGACCATACCTGCGACACCCCCAGTAGATGCATCATTACAAGGACTAGATAATCAATAACAAGAAATAATTGAAAGCACACTAGTTCTAACACCTCTTCAGTCTCTTCAAGAAAATTCCAGTCAGCTCCACTGATGTGATTAAATTTTCCTTGAGAAGCTGGCCAAGTTCAAGAATCTGAAATGACAGCATAGGTGTACGAATAGACGAAAAATGCCATAAATTTGAGCACATAAATCCTGATATACAGATCTAAAGGGAATAACACGGAGCACTTACACTCATGAATGCGATATCCTCATCACTTTTTGGTCTTTGTATACCAGCAGGTGATGGATAATTGAGCTTTTTGTTTGGTTCGTGTTCTACTTGTCGGGCCTTCCATGCAGAATTGAAGACTAAACAAGACGGTTTATGCAGACCTCCATCAGTAGAGGCAACTAATTTTCGGTTGGATCTGATTATGGGTATGTTAAAGTCATTTGCTCCCTTTTCTATTTCAAGCATCTGAAAGGAATTAACAGTACTTTAGCTAATGTAGTCTTGCTTTATATTCAAGTTCAGAGCAGGAAGAATAACCAAAGAAATCAAACCGTCACGACAGTACCTTGTTCTTATTCAAGAAGCAAGAGTCCAACATTTTGAATCCACATTCACAAACTGGAAGATGTTTGGCCTTTCTGGAACATACACCGGGATTTCCGGGACCCAACTTCCCTCTTTCCTGATTAATGGTCAGATAATTAGACAGAAAGCAGCACAGTCCATAAATCCTGAACTGCTCTACAAATGATAGTTCACAAAAACGGATATAAGCCACATCGGACACTTCATTAGTGATAATATCTTTAGGCGTTTAAGCTTTTCAATAACAAGCTGGAGATGAAACTCTTCATTTACCATTTACCGAAGTTCATAATCTCCACTATGATAGTGATGAGTAATGGATTAGTAGGATTTTCTAATTTATGTTATGCACAAGCTACTTTATTGCATTGACTACACATTAGCCTCTACAGTGATAACACACAAACAATTTACTCGTACTAGAAGCTTAGAAAGTAAAAATAGTCCAAGAGAAAGCTTACCATCACAGTGGAGTTGCTGCTGCTAAAATCCCAGTATCCTGATGAGTATGAAGAAACGCAGTTGCTATTTAGCAACAAAGTAAATATAAGCACGAACATGAGCAAGTGAAAAGACCGACGAACTGAACGTGCCGGAGTTGGGAAAAACACGTCGCCGCCCTTTTCAATCGCCGCGTAACAAGCCATGGGTACTAGATTTCCGGCAACCCTCTGTTGATAGTTTGTAAAGTAATCTCTGGATCGATGCCTTCCTTCCGATTGAAAGCATCGAATATTCGATCCTCCCTTTCTTGCCCTATGAACTGAAATCCCCAAATTTATTAAATAACTTTTAAAGTATTGACTTGTTGAACTGCGAACTGGTTACGATCGGCATTAGCTTATAAAATGTTACTGTCAAAATTCGAACTAAGAAAAAGAGTATAACTCATTCACAGTGAAGTTAAAAAATTAAAGGATCGGATTCATTTCATTTAAATAAAAATGAAGTCACGAGATCGTGTCACGTGGATATATGATTATAATGCTCAATCCTCTCCTCGTGCCCTCTTCTTCCTCTCAAGTTCTTCACTTATCTAAACCTAATCTTCTCTTTTTTTTTCTTCTTCTTCAGCAAAGTATGTTTCGAATATGAAGTTCACTATAGATAGTTTCTTTTTCTACTTAGAATATAGAGCTTATTTTAGAACATCCGAGCACAAGGCAAGTCTATTTATGAGAAGGAGTACATCGGTTTGTTAAGTGTTGTGGATAAATGGAGACACTATTTCTAGTTCAAATATTTCGTGCGGACGATCTATTGCTGAAAAATGGAATAGTGTTTGTGTCCAAAAGTGAACAAAGCCCTATTAGCTTCCCTAAAATAAACTTAAGTATTTTCTGAGTAAGAAGATAAAAGAGACAATCATGCCATTAATTTCCACTTTAGAAATTGAATGAATCAATCCTCTCAAAAGGCCCAAATAAACTGCAAGGTAGTAAAAATGTACTGGCTTCAATAAAACAGGACTGTCACCAATTTGGAGGGTGACTAGGTGGTGTACCAATGAAAATCATGAGTTAGCGGGACAGCCTTAATATTCCTTTAGTTTACTGGAAGATGTTTCATCCTGGAGAAAGAACTGGAAAAGAAATGAGGACAAGATCAGTCCTTTTGCAAAACACCATTATATAGCCGATGACCGTTACAATGTCAAGTAAGCAGAATCAGTCATATCATATTAGTTTGCTGAAAGTTAATACTTCATCATTCTAACAAACGTTCTGTTTCATGTGTTAGACAACTCCAGTTAACATACCTACTAATGAGCCGAAAATCACAAAACATAACATAACATATATATAGAATCTATGAATAGATAGAGGGCAGAGAGTGGGAGAGATGAATTGTATGGCAAGCTAGATTGGGAGAGGGAGGAGAGAGACTAGCGAGAGAGGGCAGAAAGTAAGAGAGAGATGACTCGTATGTGTATATAGGTTAAATAATTGTATTAGCTTCTATATACATGTTAGATTGCTATACATGTTGTGTTTTAAACTAAATGATAAGCTAATACAAGTTAATATTAGCAACCAAATTAAACATCATATACATAAGTTAATATTAGCAACCAAATTAAACATCGTAGCAAGGAAAAATATGATATACAAAAGCAACTTGATGATTTTTTTAAAAAAACACTTGGATTAAATTAAACTAAATGATAAGCTACAAGTAAATATTAGCAACCTAATAATTTTATATAATAAACGTCGCAAGGAAAAACTTGAGATATAAATGTAAGTCGATAATTTACATGTTTCGTGGTCTATTCATACTCATATTAGAGGGGGTAAAGGAGTGCATTTTCACTGAGAAACAATATAATAATTCATTTTTTAGAAGATTAATATTTATTTAACATATTCAAACAAACCACTATAATTTAAAATGCTTTAGGATGATATTTTAATACTATATACACTTCGCACAGGATTACTACTTATCAAGAGAATCAACTGTCATTTGCAAAAGAATATTTAATGGAATTATGAAAGGATGGATCATAGGCCTTGGTAAAAGAAAGCAAACAAGAATAATCGCTTCTTTAAAAATCTATGATATAAAAGAGGATAACATCCAGATAAAAATTGTCTCATATACAATACTGTGATACATGCTTGTTTTGAGGGGAAGCAACATCGCTGGAAAAACTTGCTTGCCTTGATCATCAAGAATTTGAGAAAAGAGGAAAAAGATATCAAAACAACAGGAACAACTACTAGATCAAAAATCTAAAATAAGTCCGACTGCGGTCACTAGAACCTTTCCCCATCCTAATTGTCGCGCCTAGTCCTTCGACGAGGAGCAGCACCAGCATCCTCACTCTGCTCTTCCTTCTCCTCAGCGGCTTGACTATTGGAAGTCGAGGTTTCAGCTCCGTCAGTTTTCTCAGTCTCGGCACTAGCTCTAGCCTGGAAATAAACAAACAGCAGAGACATGAGATAAAACGAAAAAAACTGCCGGGTTCTTTTCTTATTCTCTTTTAACAAGGATGGTAGGGACTAGTGCTTACAGGTTGCTGCTTCTTCCCACCGAAAATGAGCTTCAATAGAACTGAGAAGACAACCACTACAATTGAGACAACGACACCAACTGTGATATTGGGCTGTTTCTCAGCTTTCTCGAGAAGATCCTGGAGAATAAGTTAAGATGTATTAGACTCGCGCAGAAAAACCACACCATATAATGCCAACAACAGAGAATAGTTCCTCCACTTACCAATACTTTGGTCTTGTGTTCACCCAAGAATGGGATACCAGCTACCTTGTAGAGGAGGTCAAATACTAATTTCTGCAAAGTATTAGCACATGTTTCAAGTTGTAAAATGAGAACAAATCAAAAGCATAGAAATCATACGGTAAAGAAGGATTCAGTCCCTTACCTGGTATCCTTTGAGGCCACCAGATTCTGCTTCTTCCTCAGCTTTCTGTTTCTCCTTTTCTACATCAAACTTGGGTTTCCAGGCAGTCTTCCTGTATGATTCTGCAACTTCTTCATCACTAGCAATCAAGATATTGTCAAACAATATGCCATCTTGCATTGTCCAGATCTCAATGCCAATGGCTGCGATAGGCTCAAAGTTGGGTTTGTCAAGTTCAAAATAGTCAGGATTTGGGATATCTCTTGGCTTCCAAATACCCTTGTAATTGGGGTTGTCAATAAGCGGAGCGTGCCATTTTCCCTTGTATACTGGATTTCTGATCATTGGTCTTTTCCACTCCCCACAACCAGGAGCTTCTGCACATTTTGGGTTGTCAACCTTCGGAGCCTCCCATTCACCATCCTCCTCATCATCCCAATCTTCAGGCTTGGTAGCCTCAGGATCATCAACATCCTCAGGCTCATCATCCAACCATCCTTCGGGCTTTACAGCTTCCTCATCTTCAATTTCCATTGGTGCATCCTCATCCCAATCATCAGGTTTCTTAGCATCTGGGTCTGGAATCTTGGCTCTCTCATCCCAGTCCTCCGGCTTCTTGTCTTCTGGGTCTGGAATGGTCACAGCAGGAATAAGTGGTGGCTCAAAATCATCAGATGAGAGGAAGTTAGCCTTCTTCTTTTCTTCTCCGTCAACCAAGATAAGAACATCATTGTCCGGTTTCAACACAGCAGTGTAAACATGAGTTAGCTTGTCAGCTGGTACAGAGGGAGGAAACTTGAGGTGGTGCTCAACGTATTCTCCACTCTTAGGGTTCTTGTGTTTCAAAATGAAGTGCACCTTGTTTGTGGCTCCGCATTTATCAGGTCCAAACATTATTGTGTAGGGGGACTCGTTATCAAAACCCTTTGCGGTCCACCCTGCTTCCTGGGGGCGGAGGTATTTTATGTAAGCACCACCACATTCAAGTCCATCCTGGAGGCGAACCTCATATTGAAGAACCACAGTTCCATCTTTGAGGTCAACAACATTGTCAAGCTCCTTGACAATAGCGTATTTCCTAGCCTTCTCACTAACAAGAAGTCCATAATCATCATGTCCCTCACTCTTGGCATGTTTCCACACACCTGATACACAACACAATGTCAATTCAGACCTGGTGCAACTTCATAGATCAAAGATTTGACTTCACATCATTAATGTAAACATGATGCGCAAACATATGACTTGAAACATTTAAGTGGGTTCATGAACATTCAGTCTACATATCAATATTCAGCTTTAGCATGAATAATCAAAATATTTCAATGCTGAAGATTACATAATAGTATGATAGAACTCGTGCAGCACATAACTTGCAACTTCACAAAAGTCCAACAGCTGAAAGCAAATTTCTAAACCAACTCAGACTTCCCATTTTCAATTATCAAGTTGGCGTACTTGCACTTTGTAACTACAACAGGATCACTTACCAGCACAACCAATACAACTGAAATAATTTTAAATAGTGAAAGAGACGGGATAAACATCTATAAAAGCTAAGAAGATCACAGAATTTTTGCTCCCCTGTGTCCAAGGGATCATTTTAAACAGATTATGTTAAATCATTGTTAACCCTTCAGCCTTAATGTTGCATAATTACTTCCCAATGTTAAGATTATTCAAGTTTAATCAGTTAACAAGGTACAAATAAATCAGACGTAGTGACAACGACATTGTAGCAGCTAATCACTCCCACTGCTACCACACAAACATTAAAATGAGTTATATTCCATAATTATTGTCTCTTCCTTTAACCTTAATGCTGCATCATTACTTCCCATTCTTCTGATTATATTAGTATACTCAGTTGACAAGTTATGCATGAATCAGTAGTAAGGATGACATTAGTCTACTCAGTTAAGAAGTTACAGATAAATCAGTTGTAAGGATGACTTTGTAGAAGCTAATCGCTCCACTTTTGTGCTGCTTCATCAATGTTTTTTCATTTAGCCTTAATTTGCATAATTACTTCTCAACCTTATGATTCTTTTTCTCAACTCTATCAACAAGTTACAAATGAATCTGAAGAAATAACGATGACAAAGTAGCAGCCAATAACATGAACAGTCCATGCAACAGAGTGAAATATGAACGTAACACAAAAAATCAAAACAAATAATTCAGAGATCCATAAAAACAAACTCACCTGAATAGTCCTCTTTCTCAGATACGATCCATCGCCCATCAAATGCTTCGTCAAATGACTCGTAGAACTTCTACAGATCAGAAAAAAAAAACACTACATCTCAGAACAATACAATACAGTACAGTATATATCGATCCAGTAACAAAAACACAAAATCGCAAGTACAGATTATCAGTTACCGATATCAATCTTACCACATCTGAAGTAGCGTAGAGTTGAGAGAAAAAGCAACAAGCCAATAACAGGAACGCATATTGCGCCCAGATCTTCCTTCTAGTTTCTTCCATAACCCGTTGTGGACTATGCGAAGAAGATAATATTCGAAACTGTATCAGAGATCTGGATTTGGAAAAACCCTAACGGTGTTTCCACTAAGGGAGGAATAGATCAAGGAGAAAATAAAGAACACTCTAGAAACTAAAAAGTACG